TGGCAAGTTTAAAAAAGCATCGATATGTCAAGGGTTGTTTATGTTAGCTCCCAAACTATCAACTCCTTACCTGAGGAAAGAGAAAAGCAGTTAAGCTTTACCGTTTTCTTAATAAAAATATAAATCTATTTAGGACAGAACGTAATATTTAAATTTTAGCCTTTTGCATTCTGTCTATTAGACCGTACTAACTTTAAAAACATAAAGAAGATAATAAAAGGCATATTGTGCCTCTTAATAAGTCTATAAAATTATCTTAAAGTTAGGACTCAATTTAAAATTCCGGAAAAAATAGTATAAAAATATTTTAGGGCTTCAATCACTCTTTTGCGTCGCTTCATATTTTCCCTGGCAAGTAACCCCACTGCCTTTGAGTCATATTTAAATAGTTATTCATTAACCTTACAGTAGTCGCATGGGGTCTCTAACAGGTTAAATACTTTAAACCATCATACCGAGTTGAAGGGTTATCGTTGTAGCCCAGGTTAAGAGCTTGGCGCCGCCTACTCAAGGTCGTGGGTTCGATTCCCATCGACGCGACTCTCTTTTCCGGTCTTCTTGGACGGTCGCTTATTTAATTTCGCCCTCATTAATAATAGTATTCATCATAAATTTATTTAGTAAAAAAATTACCAATTCATCGATTTTTTTATTGCAAGTGCATGTAGCTATTGAAACTGTAGTTGACATTGCTAAAAGCTCGGCTTCTTTAAAAGTTTACACCACACTGATATAGCATATCACCTTGTAAAAACAACCTCTTAACCGGTAAGACTATCAACATTGCTCATATAAACTCGAAGAGGGGGAAGGATTGCTAATATTAGTACTAAACCATTATCTAGGTGGAGAAAAAAATCGTTTAATTAACATTTTCTGTAAACTAAGTGTGTACAGAGTTGTAACCAACCAAAAATCTCTTAATTTTGATAAATTAATTAACTGAACTAATAATTAAAACATATAGCATGATCAATAGTTATTAAGAAGAAGAGGGCTCCTCTTGCCTTGGGTAGGGATCTGGTAGCTGGGGGACCTGACCAGCAGCAACTCTGGTAGGTGTCTCCGGAAGCCTCAGGTCCTAGCAGTGGATGCATTATATTAAACGAAGAATTTATATTGATTTTTAATCAACAATGCTCTACAACTCTATCTAGATACTTTAAATTAATTAAATATTTATGTAATTAAAAAAAAAAGACCAGTGACTGCATGGATATATACCTAATTAAATTAAAATAAAAATACATTCAGTTTTCATTAGATTAGTAATGTAAAATCTTGTTAAACACTTCCTGGTGCTGGTTTTTAGTGGTTTTCCACCACCTAGGCCTATGATGGAGCCCGGGCCCAATCCTTAGGAGCCAGGCATGATACTTTTTCGGGAGAATTTCGGGTGCCCACGGCTCGGCCTGCAACTCATCTGATTGAGAGCTCGTGTATTTTTACTAAAGTTGTTGACTCGATCGAGGGTCAGAAAAAAAAAAGTAACTGGTTTTCTTAACTTCTTGCTCAATAATTCCCACAGTATGCAAAGAAAATTTTAGCGTGGCACAAGAACCAAAAATTATAAAAACTAATATAGAATGATTGCAGTCAAATGAGGGTTTTGGTAAGGTAAAGATCCAATATTTGTTATTTAGCTATATAAAAGGAGATGTATACGCAAAAGGAAAAATAATATGAAAATAGTTCTTTATAGCTTAATGATTTTTCTGTTCCTTTAAGGAGGGCGTTTTCTTCTTGACTTTTTAAATGACTCACAAAGACATAAGGTAAAAATTAAGTTAGTAAGGTTGCCTCTACTTGTTGGATTAGTGACTAAAGTTGTTCCAGGAAATAGTAATTTTTTGTTCTTTTACGTGGCTAAGGAAGTTGGATTCTTACATTATCAAAGTATAACAAAGTTGTATACGCAATTTATCTACCCGAAAAAGTGAGTTGTCCCCGTAGCTCAGTGGTAAGAGGGATTGTCGTGCAATCTCAGGTTGCGACTAGATTCCGTCGGTTCCAACCCGCATTTTCCTGGTTTGGAAATTACGTTAGCAAGTACCTTGGATAATAAATTTCTTTTCGAGCCAGTCAAATATTATAATTGCCTATACGTTAATAAATGAAATAGAAAATAGAAATTGTTTGTTGCAGAAACTATCATAGTTCAGATTCTTACTATGTCATTTAGTTTGATTACTGTAAAACAAATGTATTAAGTGTCCGACTTTAAAAGGCTGCTAATGAAAAGCTGTGTAGGGATGTTACCTCTCGCGTGTGCGAGGCACTTTAACGGCAAAAATAAGTGAAAAACTTCTATTTACCCGACACTCTATAGCTTGTTTTATGAGGCTATAAATAGTTTAATAACTACTTGAGGGGGTTTATAATTTACGTTTCACTTAGTCACCTTATAATATTATGCCATATAAATTTATTATATTATTCAGAACTTCTATCGAATTTTAAGTCAAATAATTTTTTTTGTCGTCACAATTGACTATTAAGTGTTTCAAAGAAGTTTGTTAAACCACAGGGTTGCATTTTCGCATAAATAAGCAGACATGCTTTTTACTATAGCTTCACATGTATAGCACAAGATGCTAGTGGTTTTTAGTTTGTGGTTTTCGTAAAATTCTTCCAAATAAGGGAAAAAACGAGAATATGGTGTGTCGTGGTCTATATGTTAAAACTGGAAACACAAGTTAAGAAAGCAGTGACAACGGTCGTTTTTTGCCTCGAAGTTAAAGAACTATAGTTATTAAACGGGTAATATTTACGTAACGGTATATGTAGCATAAGAACAATTGCGAGATACAGTTGGCAGTCTTAAAGTTGCAGTATTTAAACCTTCCATTTAGAGACTATATTTACCCAATAGAAATAAGATTGCTAAAAACAATACTTGGAAAGGCGACTAAACCGTCCCTTAACAGGGTTTATCGATATTTAAAAATAAAAGATATAATAAAACATTTCACAAGTTCAAGGTTATTTAACAAGAGGTTTTCTGGTTATTCGTCAGGATTAGAGATATGTTAAAAAGTATGAATATCATTGATTAATATACATCTCAACTGATGTTATATAAGAACAAATGTTCACGTTTGTTTGGATTATACTGTGATTTTAAGCGCAACTGGCAGATAATTTATAACTTGATATGGTCCAAATAAAGAGGGCACTTCAAACTTCGCAGGTATTCGATCTAACTCGTCTTAAACTAAGTCTCTATTCAGGAAAATAATTGTCTTAATACCTTTCAGTGGCGCTAAAAATCGAATTGAGATTTAGAAGCCAACATAGTTTAAAAATTATTATGAACTGTACAAAACCCTAAAAAACATTTCTTAAAAAATTATTTAACATATTAAACTTTCTTGAACAAGAACAAAGCGGCGTACATGCCATTGGTACTACTAGAGAGGACCGGAAGAAGTTCTACAACCCTATTGAGATATACATAACTAGAAAAAAGAGTTCTTATACGTTGAACCACTAATTTAACTCGGACAAATAGATGCCTATTTTAGAGAAAAGTTAATTCAGTGGTGACAATGAAAGCCTACGGCTGTTTACTGGAGCCCGTTGCAAACTTATAACCCTCAGAAATGGATACTACGCAAATGAGTAGAAAGTGATAATACTAGTTGCCTTTTTTATATAAATATAGCGTATTGAGCAGTTAAAATGGGTATTAGTATCGTTATAAACTAACGATACCGGTTCAAGGCCCGGTCGCATAAGAATTAAGTAAAATAATTTTGTAATTGTATTTAAGCCCCTCTTAAGGGTCAGGAATAGGGTTTTTGGTTTAGTCCTCGGGATGAACATGAGAACCACTGTTTCACCTTCAGCAAGGCGTATCGTTTTAACTCTTTATAGGTTACTGGTAAGCATGCCTACCAATTGCATCCTAAGTTCATTTTGCGAGTGTAGGTCTAAGGAAATTGACCCAAAACAACAGGCTCAGTCTCTGAAACGATCTCTGGGAGGTTTGAGCATCATGCTCTAACAGGTTAGGCAGCCAGCCACAAAACATAAAAAAGTGGTAAATTTAGTTACCAGTGAACGAAAACAAATATATTTTAAGCCCGTCAAAGGGTTATTGTAAAAATAAGTTCAGGCCCTTATCAATCCTGTGCTAATGGACAGCTATAAAGTTCTTTGGATAAAGAGGATGATTAGTTTTTACCTCTTCACCCACGTGAAGGAGACCCCTCTGAAAAACGAGTTTATAAATAAGAGGGTGAAACAGGGCAAAATTTAGGTGTAAGCTCAGAAAAGGCTAAAAGAAAATAAGGTTACCATTATTTTATCGAGTGATTAAGGCGCTACATACATTTTTATAATTTACTAAAGAAAAAAGAAACCCTGGTTAAGCAGTATTATATGGTAAAAAAAAATTTTAAGGAATAAAATTAGATATGAAGTCTACAGCTAACTAAAACTACTTAATTATTGTTGCTTTAGCCTATACCTCTTTTTATCCTTTTTGTGTAAAAAGGAGCAGTTCTCGCATCGGAAAGTGCGCACTGATAAGTAAAAAATAATTTACAACAGTCAAAGAGGGTGAAAGTGAGATCTCATTAGTATTGCTGATATAAAGGCCCGGCCATGCGGAGTTGGTTAAGTGTAAATTCTGAATGTAGATAGACAGTAACCTAGGTGAGACTTACCGAGTCGTGAAGCATTAACCCTATAGTAGTCGCAGTAGATTTCTCAAACCCCTTGAGTTTTAGTTTTTTACTTTTATATTAAATAAAAATACCGTTAGTTTTTGAGTTGTTAGTGAGATGTTAGTATACTTTCCAGATCTATGAGACCCCCTGCGACTACTGTAGGGTTAACGAGACTCGGAAATTTCTACCTCGAAAAACAAGCACGTGAGTTAAAAACAACAACGTCAGGAATGCGTGTGTGTAGCCCAAGAAGAAGTATACTTAAGATGCAGTATATAAATCAAAGTGACTACCCCAAAGTAGAGGAGATAAATAGCAAAAGAGTTGTTTATGTTTTTAACTTATCGGGATGGATAAAACTGCTTGACGGTGACGGGATTTCTATAAGTACCAAGTAACATATCCCACCACATAAACATATGGCCAAAGTTGTAACAAAACTTCGCGTGGTGAACGTGGTGATCAGAAGGAGTTCCTACAAGAATCGTACAGCAATATGTATACATAAGCAAGTTGTGCAACATATACCAATTTTAAATTTTTTGAAAAAGGGATCCCACACGTGTTCAAATTCGCTGTGAATTAAAGTTAAGAACGCTGTGCCAAAGTGTAAGAAATTTTAATATATTGGCGTGCCAGTAAAGCTAGACCAGTCTTACCGGCATAAACAGAGCCAAAGAGCATGTAAGTCCATACATTGCAGTGGACGACCTGAGCAGTGAGCGCTAAGGGGACTAAAATCATTAAGAACGTATCGCACAAGGATCCTATATAGTTGGGGGTTACTTTGAAAAGGAAAAATATGGCTTAAAAAAGAGTTTGGGGTATAAGCAATCTATAAACCTCCCACATATTAGTAATAAATTGAAGTAAAATATAAATACTTAGCTTAGATAACTATAATATCTTCGTTTCAAAGTTTTATAACAAAAATAGTATAGAGCTGACTAAGGATAACACAAATATACTACATCTCCAAGGTATAACAGAATTTTATATTTATCTAACAACTCTGTTAACACAAACCATTTGGATAAATAACGTCAGTAAATCTGTTAGCAGTTTTAATCCACTAAAATAGAATAGAGATAAAACAAGCCAAAATAAAAAATTATATTATTAAACGACCGTCAAAAGCATCAAATAGTTTGGGACTAATAAAACGATGGTGTGGTTTGTGGCTCAGTTGGTAAAGCCTAGGAGAAACGTGATGCTCGGCCAAATGCATAAGAGTTTGTAAAAAATCCGTTAAGACTAGCTGCTGAAGAAACTGGCTAAGACTGATTCCTAAGATTGTGGTTTAATAAAATTTTTTATTAAAAATATATAGAAAAGCACCTCCTTTATAAGAATAATAACTTTCAGGCATTATTCGAAACATCCATGTAAAACACAAGTAGGAGCCTTGTAGACCATAAATCGTGAAAAATAACGATATAAACGTTTATCTTATAAAGTTAACTAGTATAAGACAGAAAATATATTTTGTAAATGTAATAACAAATAAAAAAAATAAAAAGAAATAACCCAGCAACAAAAACCCCTCGGGATTACAAACGTGTGTGCGCAGATCTCTCCAAAAGTTTTTTTGACTCACACTTCGGTCAAAGTTTATATGTACAGGGCTCGGATGCAAGGCGTAAAAAACGTTGTAATAGTGGTATAAGACAATAAGGAATTGTAAAAAAAGCACAGCCAAAATCCCTAGAAATAAGCCAACAGGGCTAACGGGAAATAAAGATATTAAAAGCTTTGTCAACAGTAAACTGTTACAAACTATGGTAAAATTTCATATAAATACATTATAATATATTAAAAGTAACCTTGGGTATTCAAATTTCTTTAGATAAATATAAAGCTTTGTGACCTTGTCGTTTTGAAAACTAAATTAAGAGGAGTTAATATATATGTAAACAAAGTTAAGTAAAGCATAGAGGTAACACAAATCCTAGATAGTAGCTTTAGTCTTAATTTTAAAACTTTAAAATAATCAACCTCCAGCTATTTAAATCTACGATTTTTTTTAAAGTTGAAAAAATGTTTTCGTACGTATAAACCGCCTTCATTGCATAATAATAAGCCCCACGTACGAGGATGGTAAACACGATTTAAAGTCATAATTTAGGCATCCCTGTTACTATACCACGCAGAACTTATAAGGTAAATTAACAAACTTATTTAGCCAATAAACGTTAAGAAACAAAATTAGTAAGTCATTTGCGTTAGCTTCTCTCACTAAAGGAGAAAAACGGGATAACGGCATATCGTATATACGCAAAAGGTAATTAAATTTGTTAATATTAGATACATTGTTATAATATCCTCAAAAAGCAGAAATTAATAGTTTGGCACAGGGACTTTAACCAATAACAATAAACTAAAGTTATCACAAAGTTTTCTCTTACCCTTTTTACATATCTCCTAAAACTATGGTTTAGAAAAGTTTTTTTTATTAAACACTTAAGGATATTTCAGCTGGCGACAAAGTTCGTTAAATATTTAATATAGAGGTCCGTAAAAATGAGACATATTCTATTTATGTTGCCTAAAAAAGAAAATTTAGAATTTTTATTAATATTCACTAGCAGTGGCCTTAACAAATAGACTTTTAATATGCTTTTATATCACCTCTTAGGCCAGTATTTGCCTTTAATTTACCCATCTCAGAGTGTTATTACTCTGGTAAAAGTCTTTATAAAATTTGTAACACTTCAGTTATAAAAGCCAGTGTTTAAAAGATAACACAAAATAGAGTAATAGAGACTTTTTGGCAAAAATCATGAAAAATTGCTGGAATTAATTAAACTAAATACGTGACCATACCATAAGAGGAATAGATATATATAGCATACCTACACGGAAGTAACCAAAAAAAGAGCAGACAAATGTATTCGCAAAGACTATTTTGTGTGGTAGATAAATGTACCTTATGCACTAAAATTAGGAACGAAAACGATCTACCAAAAAAACATGTTTTGCTTAAAAATGTTAAAAATTATGAATTAAGATTGTGATCTTTTTTTTGACACTTTAGGCTAATTTAAATTTTTCAAGTTCATTTTTATGATATTTGGTGCCCACCAGTAACTTTATTTACTATCCTTTTTAGTGTTAAAAAAAGGATTAGTTTCAAACTTGATAAAAAATTTCGTTTTTTTGTTTATTTTTTCAGTTGGAAGTGCTGTTCATTACACTGAAGTAGTCAGCACAAAGATTTGGACTTAGTAAATTTAAAAAACTTATAACATTTGAGATACCTTTGTGATAAAGTTGTAATTTTTTATTTACTTATAACTTTGTAAGTTTATCTATTTTAACATACAAGATTTTTGTTAAATTGTATGGGCTGCACTTGAATTGAGCGCACATTTTAACCGTCGAGTGTCAAGTAAATGGGTAGAAAGAAATGTTCTACAATAGTTAACTTTACCCGCCCCTTTAAACAAAAACATAAAAAATTAAGACTAAGAGAACGGCGAGATTACCGCCTTTAGTTTTAAGAGTTAAAAAATTGACTTCACATAAGGGGGAGCTATATTATAATAACAACTTACTTTTCTTTACACAAGCTATGTTTGGCTTACTCATATCAATTTACTGTTCTTTACCTAATCGCCTAGCACTGTATTCCTCGAGTAGTAACACATTTGAGTTTACTTTTTTTACTTTGTCTCGCAGCCTTTATTACCTTTATAACGGTAGCTAATTGCTTTGAAAACATGAAGGGTTTGGAGAAGAAAGATGGATGGCGGTCAGTAAGCTGCTGGTTGCAAACGGAGGCCCAGAAAATTTCGTAGTTTTTTACTTTAATCGTAATCATTAAGTAATTTTTGATTGAAGCACTAAGGACTAAGAACTTTGGCGTTAGAGAGATGAGTCTGCAAATAAGGCAAAACTAGCATATGCTTGACCAAGAGTATGAATGCTTCCCTAAACCTTTATGACTAATCTTCGAATAATTTTTGTTTATTAGTGCGTCTTTTCTCATCATTAATAGGTTTATGCCTTTTACAACTCTATAATGGTTAAAAGAAAAAAGAAGGGAGCCCTTTTTCAAAGTATTAAATCTTAGTAAAGTAGGACTTTGTCTATTGAGGAGAGCACGCCGAAGCCTTAAGTGGGGCTTCCTCCACTTTCCCGCGGGAAAAGGTCTTTTAAGAAGGATGTTTCAGCTATCTTATCAACTTTGTTAATGTATATTTGGTTATATTTAATTTAAATTATTTAAAAAAAACCTTTAAAACCTGTAATTAATATATTTGCCTATGAAAGCATTAAATTCTATAGTCACCTGCCGAAATGTTAAAAATAGTAATTTTTTAAAAGTTCGTTTACGGTTTTTAAAGAGGTTTACCCTTAGGTAATTTTTTGTGTAACATGTATGGTTATGTGTAGGTAAAGCTGTGTATGTGATTAAGGTTTGTGTACACTTTTTCGTACGAGCTTATACTTTCTAGTATATATTTTGTTCCAGCGCCGGATTTTATGTGGTTCACATAGAGCAACCATACAGCACTTTAACTACTTCACGTAAGCTAAACAGTTATAATGAAGAAAGAAAGTAAATAATATCTATAGAGTAGATCGAAGTTTGTCATTTAAAGTTTTTAGCTGTTATATTAACAAATAGGCTGACTATAAACTGCCAATAAGAGTTATGCACTTGAATTATAAAGCGTTCGTCTTGCTACCCAACTCAAATTATATCCCTCTAAGTACCACTAGCCACACTCAGCTCTAAGTTTAACTATTCTAATGCTATCAATAACCTTTGAGCTGTAGATGAAAAAATAACATTACTGTATTATTAAAATCTTGAATTTAAAACATAAAAGTTTGATCTTAATCTTTAATCTTAACTTTTCAGGCTATCAATCCTAAGGACTTAGCTTTAATAACTCTAAAATATCAAGACTTAAGAAGCAGCTTCATTTTTCTGGCAATAAACCTCTAGAGCTAAGGCTTTCTCGCGAGTTCTTTAGATTAAGACCAATCAATCTCAGACCTGAAAGTCTCCACCCCAGAATTAATAACAAAAGTCTTCTATTACTTATGCACTGACATGCTAAGGTCCTGGCTTTTGTGCCGTTCTAAGATATTTAAATTTATAGTATATTACGGCTATTAAGTTGCTTAAAAAAAGCTCAAAATTGATAAACTTTTTTTTAAACTCGAGGCCTTTACTTAAAATTACATAATTATACCATATAAAAATTATAAAACGGTGGAAGAGTTCGATCAATAGTAAAGAAACGAAATAAACAACTTTGTCCAGATAGTAATAATATACTTAAAGTATATTGCAAAAACCCAGACTAGAGTAGCGAATAGTATTCTAATTACCTAAGGAACTTACTAACTTTACAAAAAAAAATATTTCTAGGTAAGTTTCGTATTTCTTTACGCAATGCTCACAACAACTAAGTCAACCGTTTCTTCACAGTATATGTTTTTTGTTATACTGCAAGCCGTGTACCAAACACAATTCCTGAATAAAACTCTACAAACTTGAAAGGAGCAGGGATATTGTTTGAGATTTTCAATAACAGTTGCAACCCATAAATATATTCAACGCCCACAAAGTCGCATTACCAAATTAAACCAACTAAACAATTATTTTTCTATATCGCAATTTATATTACTTTAAATACATTTGTCCTCTCTTTCCACTATTAATTTCGTATGATCCAGTAAAGAGTAGGATTGTAAAATCTCAGACAAGTATAAAAAGTCTTTCTGGGCTTTCCAAGTTCAACGTCGAAATCACAAGGAATTTTTAATTGTCGACTCAAGTGGCTAGTAACGAAAGATGTAAAACTTCTAAAATACCACAATAATGTGAGTTACTTTAAGGTACAAGAAGGGTTAATTGTCTGATACTGCTGCGTAAGAGAAATCGTCACCTCCATTCCAAGCTGAAAGAAAAATTGGCGATTCAAAATTTAAACACAATGAAGAATAAACCGAAGTCGAGCAGAAGTCCTTGAAAGTAGTCAAGTCTTTAAGAAGTACTTTAAATATCTCAAAAAATTCACTGCGAAAATTAAGAATGGCCCGGCCGAGAATTGAAAGTACGTTGGAGGCAAATCCTGAGAACAGCTGCAGCTAAAAAGTGATACTAAAGCCAACGAAAAGCTGAGGAGACTACCACTTGCCTGACTACTAGACAGCGCTCTACGATTCCTATGTAGCAGTTGAACCAAGTCGCTAATTTGTTGGGCAATGCAACGGGGTAACGTATGCAATGGAAGTCTCTGGTCTTAAAATTTTAAAACTAAAAACTGAAGGCAAAGCGCTGTGCATACCCTTTTTAATGGAGAGAGAAATCAAAAACGTTCTGTCACTGGCTCCAAGTGGAATTCCAGCTGGGGAAATTCCAAAAAGGCGACATATAGCGATTTGCTCTTGAAAATAAATCGGCGAAAAGGTTTTTGTAGTATCGACAAAGTACTCCAAACTCTTCCACGCTTAGCAGTAGTTCATAACCTGAATTGTTCGCTGACAGACTAAACAAGCCGAGGTAGAGTGAAAATTTTACAGCGCTCAATGATAAGCAATAGATTCTTGGTTTTCAAGGGGGCTCGTTTAGAACGAGCGGACCTCACGCATATGGCAGTGGCTTTCTTGAAGCTTGGGCATGGAAACCCCTTAATTATGACTGTTCACCAATGGCGTGGGAGTAGATAAGGAGGAGTATTTAAATGTGAAACCATCCAAACGTGAAGGATTAGAGGAGCGAGGGCTGCTACCGTCTTGACACGCTGTAGATGTATACTTAATATAATAGTAATCCTCGATAAAAGAATTCGCATAAATGAGTTGCAAAAGCTGCAGTCTGACGATAAAGTGCTTAAACGATAATAAACTTCTTAAATATTAGTTTATAAAAAACCTAACGAACCTTATCCGACAGAGTCATAATTCCGCATAGCACTGGGTGTGCTGTAGTCCGCAACGCTTTTTTGCCATATGTAACTCTTGTGAGCGCTCGTTATACGAGATTCGACCCGGTAAGTGCAGAGGTTCGCATAATTCTTTAACCACAAAGTTAGGTGAAGAGCTAAAGAATTAAAGAACAGTCTTATAACAATTGTAAAAGAGTTATTTAAAGCAAATTACCTTCCACAGAGTGAGTTATTAAATTTCTGCTTATGAACTCTTTTTGTAGTCAAAAAAGTGTTGAACCGAGTTTCTAACTGAAAAGATTATTAGCTTTTAAACGCTCAAAGAGAACTAAAAATAAGAAGGGTGGTATGTACGGATTATAGATAATAAAAAAATAAAGTCACCATATAAGGTAGAAGTAACAAGCTTTCCTCCTGTGGGCCTTCCACTCCCTCGCTACAATTTTGAGTACAAGTGCTCAGGTCTTTAAAATAACAGAGTTTATCTGTCTCCTCTTTGATTGACGGTTATAGTAATTTAAAAGATAAATCCAATAGAGGGAAAAAAAAACGTTCCTTTAGTATCCGAGCATAAAGTGGTTAATTTGACATGCGCCTCACGCCATTTTTCATCTGGTAAAAATATAGTGTAAAGTGGTTGTTAACCCTGTAATATAAAGTACTAAGATCTTTTAATTCAACTTTAAAAGGATCTTCGTTGAAAACCTCAATTCCTTATTTCGAATCAAGAAAAGTAGAATGACTTCTTGTTAGCTCACTTGATATAATAGATTTATAGGAAAAACGATATCCTCTTTAGGCTACACATAATATCGTGCTTCTGTTTTAATTTTTCTTATAATTAGAAACGTACTCCATATTTCACGCGCTCTTCTTTTAAACAATAGCAAAACTAATGGTTGGACGTCAACTTTAAATCAACGCCATGAAATTACAAGCATTTAACTTCAGAGTTTTTAAGATTAATACCCAATAGATGACTTCCTGCCTCCTCAAAGTAAACGTTCACTTTATGGCGTGGTGGAAAATCTACAAGAAAAGTTAGAAGGTCGTTGGGAAACGAACCGAAGTGGTTGCAATTCCTTTCGTCAGTGGAGCACATAGTCCTAAAGAACGCGCATACCTCCAATTACTGTTGGTGGTAATACATGATAAATCTCATTTAGTTCTTAGCATTTAAATAATTGCAGTTGTTTATTTTTTTTTACTGCGTTGGATGAATCAATTTAACCTCATTATTAGAAAGTAACTTCCTACTTTAATGAAGGCTTTGAAGTCTAATCTGCTTTAAGAAGAACTGAGTTAGTTAAAAGATACCATAGTTCTTAGTTCGTTTGATCGGCGGTGTTAATCAAATTTAACCTGTTAAGTAGGTAACGTTGTTACAATGAAGATATTTTGGCTTTGTAAAATTCGAAAAAAAGTATCAATAATAGTTATAATTACTTATTTTTTAAATAAAAATAGTAAAGTAAAACGGAATACCATTTTAATAGTAAAGTAAGGATGAGGAACAACACTTGATCATAAAGAGAAATAAAACTCACTTAACACTCATCTTAAGCGTTAATCAAAAATTGTAGATTCTTGTGGAAGTAAAGAAATGGATTTAAATATCGGTATTTAATTTTTTTTACTTCAAACTTCAAAGTATTAAAATAAATTACCCTTGCTATGTTAGCTTTTTTACGCATTTATTAATGTCTTTTTCATATAAACTTTTTTTTAAAGGCAGTAGATGTTTCAACCGCACCTTATCAGCGCTCTCTAATAACGTTAGATTAATTGTTTATCTTAAATTACTATAATTCGAGGGTTTTAATAATATTTTACGCCAACCACTCCCTACAATAAAATACTAACCTTATTTAGTTGATAAGCAATTAATTTTTTTCTCATCTTTCCTTGCAGGTATATAAATTAAACGCCCTCGAAAGGAGCGGATTTTGCTATATATTTTTAAAGTAAAGCGCTATCTTTGCCCATCTTAAGTTCTTTCGTTCTCGATTATTGTTCTGCGGTTTTCATTGGGTTTCTACAACCTTAGTACCTTAGTGTCCTCGTTTAGTTTCTTTTTCCTACGACCTAGTTCTACGTCCTTTGCTATCTTGCTTAACGGTGGTTCTTTCTATCTAATATAAGTTACTCTCTAGTATCTGTTACTTGTTCACACAATTTTCTTGCGCTTTTTATCTTCCTAGTTCTTTATAACCGGCTTGATTGTAAAAGTAGAAGAGCACTGGGAAGGGATGTTTTAAAATTATTTCTTAAACAAAAAAGGGGCTTCCTAATTGGAGAGCGGTAGTAACTTCCCAGGGAATTTGTAGACTGCGATCGCTGATAAAGGCCCCTAGTCGGCCATAAATAGGGAAAAACACCCACTGCCTCCACTTTTTGTAGAGCTGGCAGAGATGTTGAGGGGTGTTGAATGAACCAATTTTTTTTACCGACAGACACGCTCCCGCCGCTTGCATCGATCTGGTATTGGCGATACGTAACAAAGTTGCACAATTTAAATGCGACATTAGGAGGGAGGTGCGTCTCGTGGGTAGCGCGTGCATCAATTCTTTCACGTGGTAAAGCTTATGAAGCTCATACTTCTTATTCTAAACGCCATTCGCATTCAGAAGAATAGTCGGATTTAGCGGAGCGTTTTCGGGTTGCAAACATATTCTAGTCCTTTCACGATTTCAAACATACTGAATAAATTCGTCGTTAAAAATGCTAAAAATAGCTGCCGTACTGTCGGCTATGGCTTTTTTTGCGGCTCATCCTTCGTATTAGAATCATGGCTAGGTGCTTTGAAAACAAACGGAATACTCGGCGAGTCTTGTTGTGATGAATCAAACACGGAGCTTTTCGGGTCGGCTTACTCCCTTCCGCGGAAATTATTGGCAGCCTTGATAATAAGCGGTGTGCGCCTCACCGCTATGCACAGTTAGCAGGACTATCTCGTGCTTTCGTGCATAGGGCTGTCAAGTGGCCCTCACCATATTTAACGTATCGGGGGCCAAAGCCTGCGCTGCGCCCAAAGGTCTGATAACGGTGGCACTGGTCAACGCGGTTACTCTTTTGAAGTTTCCTTCTCAAATTTGAAGGTGAGAGATAGCCTTCACTTTTAGCACCTTTTGCCTCAGTTGTTAAAAGATCGAGTTCACGAAAAATACCGCGGAGGACAAATCCCATAGACCCTTCCTTTGGTAATTGATAAGTGAAGTATTGAAACTCCTGAGCTCGCATGATCGCTGTTATATAGCGGTACTCGTTAGCTATCTAGGATATATCTAGATTCCAAGGCACGTATCTCTTGGTCGTAGGATATTCACGCCGTTGGTTTGCCAGAGTTGATTTAGTAAAGACCACTTTCATTTTTTGCAGAGTATTGGAAGGAATCTTTTTTTTTACGAGATTCCGGGTATAACTTTAAAAAAGGCTAAAAAGCATTTCCATTTAATTATATTCATTTAGGTATAATTTAATTATTGAATAAACATGTTCAATTCGGTTTCGTTTTAAAAGATGTGTATAGTTCATGATTACCATATATGTATACAAAAAGTATTTGGTTTACATAGCTCTACCAAAATGTTTAAAATCGCTTATATTATAAAGGATATAGTTTATCATGTTAAGGTGATTTATTTTAATATTATGGCTTCTGTATGTTTTACTTCTGTTAGTGTATATGTTGTAGGTTGTTTGCGTTTTTTCATTATTCAATGCGTTGATGTTATTCTATATATGGTATTTTTTGATAGTATTTTTGTGTCAACAAGAATTGTTATTTTATCAATGGTTTCATTGCCCCGTGATCCAACAGTTAAGACTTTGGAACTACAATGGGCTATATTATATCTTTTAATTGCAGTTTTAAATTATGATATTCTTACTTTGAAACTTAAATTAACAAATCATACTGTGAAGCTGAATTATATTGCTTTGTAAATAAAACTTTATCAAAAACCATTGCAGTACAAAATATAATTTACGAGCTCCTCCTTAACTTTGATATCCATATAAAAATTAATACAAATAATGAATCCGTAAATGAGAGGCTGAAAAGCTCTTCTCGTATAAGACATATTGAAAAAATTGTTGGATTAAATGTATTACCTCAGCAGCAAACTTAGCTAATATGTTAACGAAGCCATAGTTAATACAAAAAAAATGGAAGCCTTATTACAAATTTTTTTACAGTAATCAATCAACATGTAGATATAACAATCTTAAAAGTTGCGAAGTTTCCCTAAACCTTATATACTCTCAGCATATCAAGAATGTTTCGGAGTGATATAAAAATATATACACAGGATTTTTATCTAATAAAATTAACTTTAGTTTTTTTTTTATGACCTTTTATATATATTTTGTAATAGAAACCCGATATTAATCTTAAAGATTTTAGACAAAGTGATGATTAAGGAGCTAATTAATTATAATTTTATAAACATAAAAGTATAGGCTTCTAATAATAAAGTTGGTGTTTGGAATTTGTATCTGATGCTAATATGTTGTTTTATTTGGCCTTTGTATAATAAAAGTGAGGTCAAAATTAACCGCAACTCCTCCAGAGGCCGCCCTAGCTGAATGCAATTAATCCGTTATAAGGGTACAGTACACAAGTACGACACTTCCTCTAACCCTTATGACGAGTAAGTTGCTTAGGGCTCGTTAGATCACTAAACTAAGGTAGCTAAGAGGTTCAAGGTTCCGGCCTTCTCCCTTTTTCTGAGATCTTCTATACCTCAGAGCCCTCTTGGATTTCGTTCCCAGGCGAACCCAAAGGTTCAGAGAGTGATTCTCTCTCTCTCTTAGGAAACTTTAGATCCTAGAACCTTCATTTTGAACTTCTCTGCCTCTGGGTATCGAACCCGTGTCGAAATTAACCGCAACTTTATAAGAGGACTCCCCACAGTTTGGTGGGAATATTCCGTTATAAGGGTACACGTTTGATAGTAAGTATACATAGCGCTCCCTGAATAAATAAGTTGTTAAAACCTTATATCCTATAATCGTAGATTGTCTAGTCTAAATTTTCACAATTTCTATCGCTCAGCTAATGATGCAATCCATCCCTAGAAAGGTTTACATCTCTCGTAATGGCCATTTCAAGATATTCCGTAGGTCACGTAACTGTCAAAGGCAGAAAGAAGTCTAAAAAGGTGTTACTTTTTAGAGGGCTTTTTAGCCTGTATACCTTTTGTTATATGTAGTTGGGAGCTGGGGAAACGGCACTACTTTTTAACCATAAGAGGTAGTGTAGGGATGGCGGTGTCTTTCCTTTCTTTTGTTACTGTTTTGTAGATGACAGACGTTGTGCTACACAGACGGTACAAAAGCTATTAAATGAGTTGTTATATTACGTTTAAAACTTAAACCAACTCTATATCATCTCCTTTGTAATATAATATTACAGTATTTTTTAACTTTATTGTTGGTAATTTATAGCTTTTGAAGGTCAAAGGAGGTTAGATCACACTTTTCAAAGGGGCCTGGCTTAGTTTGTTGCTGTTTAATTTTAATTTAGATTATCTGTTAAAAAAAACTTGAGCTCACAATTATTTTAATATTTTTTGACATTATTAATCAAGTAGTGTCTTTCAACGGTTATCGCAGTGTTATCATAGGCATATAAGTTTAATTTTTTAAGATAGGAAATATATCTACTAGTTTAATTTTGGCATATATAAATCCCCATTATACCGGTTAAAAAACAGGTTTACTGTAACAAAGGAGCTATGCGCGTTCCAGTTGTGAGAAATGAGAGTTTATCACCATAGACTCCTAATTAATAGTATTTACACTTATAAGCAGTGCCATGGTATCGAGCTACGTCGATTTAGCTCTTACCATCTTGGTCTTGGTGGTTACTTTAATGTCTATCTCAAAAACAACCTGATAAAGTGTCCCCGAGAAATAATTCCAATTAGTTTTCTGTTACCTAGACAAAATGTATTAAAATTTGTGAGGGCAAAGTTAAAAGCCCAATTCGTCGTAGAAACCGAAAAATAGAGTTTTGATATTAAACCCAAGACTTTGAGTTTGCAATTACTGTGCTACAACGACAACTCTCAACTCCGGTAGAATAAATTTAGGTATTTGACCTGTTTGACTGTATGGGGCTATGACAGTCAGGCAAATCAGGCAAAAGGGTGGGTAGCGTTGCTTACCTATTGCTAAAAACAATAGTCTTTCAAATGCGGTAAGTTATAACTGTAAGTTTTTTTAATTTTTTTTTCTAGTCAAATAAATTTCTTTTTAAAACTTTTGTGAGATATAAATTAATTTGTTACTCTTTTTAAAGCTAACCTTAGATTCTAATATCTTACTGTTGTCAGTACATAGAATATAAAGATGTCAAGAAAGTGGTCAATTTTAATAAAAAAAAATTTATTAAAAAGCAAATATAAAGGCAAGAGGAAGGTATTTTGTTCAACAACTGCAGATAAGGTTATAGACCCCGTTGTATTAAAAAAATTATAAATTAAATTATTACCCAAAAGACGGATTTTAGAGTTTGCTCAAACAAGTGGTGCTGGCTAATTTAGAACTTTAAGTTCTCAACATAGTAAGAGGGAAGGGCTGTCAAAGTTGTTATATAAAGCTTAACGTAGATAGAATTACCCAACAAATGACTTAAGTTTATCGGGAAATCGGTTACTATAGTCGATTTTAAATGGACATTTTTTCCTTGTATCAATATAAAGACGTCTTCCACAATTCATTTGCGCTCAATAAGTAAAGAGCCTGTGTTAAAAATGGGTATCCCTAAAGGCCAATGACCTATCAAGCAATTTTAAGGAAGACTATTTTGTACTTTTAAACTTTTAACTGACTAGAGGTCCGCGAACTTATTAACATAGCGAGTGGGGTCACGTCTTTATTAGAAGTATTCGGAGTGTCTTGCACTCTTTTAGATAGACGTACTATTCTTTAGAATATTCAGCCCAGGGGGTGCCAACTTTTTTTTACCATTCAATGAGGAAAACCTTGCTATAGCTTTGAAGTTTATCGTTTTATATTTCTCAAAGAAATATAGACGTCTAAATTTACGTTAACCTCTTTTACTTTGTTGTTTTGCACAAGTATAGGAAGTTTTATTTGGCCTATAAATTAAAGGCAATGCCCCAATTGACAGTCATTGAAGACAGAGAGTTGAGAAGAAAAAGAGAACGAGAAAAAAGAGAACAAGAGCTCCAAAGGAGCCAAGAAAAAGGAATTGGTCTGGACTGCCTTAATTCCAACGTTTTAAGTGTTAGTAATGAATTTGGTTCTTTTTTGGATACAAAACAGACTCCATCGAAAACTTCCTCCCTTCAAAACTTTCGGAGAGTACCATTTTTTTCTAAAATAAATGGAGGATGCAACAATATTAAACTTTCAGTGCCTTGGCTGTATAGTTACCATAAAAGGTTTACTCCTCTTCCTGAACCAGAAGTTGACTCTGTCGAAAAAATTTTGGAGGTATATTTATATCAATCTTGACTTTTCTTTAATATTGCTAACTTATTATTTTAAAAGAGAATGACGGTGCAGTCTGTTTCTTTAAGTCCTGTCGTTTCGGAACTAGATTTCCCATCATTGGAAAATTTAAGTATTAACTTAAAGGATTTGAATATATTAAAGCCTAAAGAAACCAAGGAAGTTGCAAGTTCTGAAAAGTTGCAGTTTTGTTCCCTTGAGACCCGTAACACTAGCGATATTGATCGTATAACTAGTGATTCAAGAAGTATTTGTAATTATATTAAAGCTAATAGCAACTACAAAAACTATGACCGCAATAATAATAGTAATGATAACAGTAACGTTAATAATATTGCTAACAATACAAGGAGTTTTGATAGTAAAAATTCAGTAGCTCAGACGCCCCTTTCTATTGCTTGTGACTCTAGTCCTCCTCACGTTTTAAGCAAAATACTTGAGAAATCAGAAAAGAGGAAGTATATAGATGAGCCCGCAGGACCACTTTACAGTACTAAAAACAAAGACTCTTCTGAAACCTCAAGTTTAGGCAAGGAAGGCACAAAAGCAAGAGAAGTATCTGAGTTGCCACCTCAGGCCCACCTTCAAAATACTCAAAAAAACGACTTCCTTTGCAACGATGTTCAAGGTATAATAGTCTCGTATGATTATAAAAGTAACTGAGCAAGCTGTTGTTTTCTTAAGCCAAGAAAGTACTGAATACTCCTATTCAGCTATCGCCGAGTGTTTACTCGGACTTTTTAACTGAGGTGGATTGTTCAGACGATAAGTTGGTTTATTTTTTTTGTAGTAAACAAAAGCAACAGCTATTTTAAACCTTTTTAATTTTGTAATAGAATTGATTTAGACGGCAAACGTGTTAAGAACGACAAGAAGCGGAGAACTTTGTACACGGTCACCATTCCTGCAGATAGATTGCAGCACCTAATAAAATTATTTGAAAAGCAAGAATCGGGGCTTACTCTCATTGTGATACTCCATGTTTATGCATTTCAATTATTTTGATCACTAAATAGATCAATACAAAAGGATCAGGCACGCGCTGGAACTATGACTTTGGACTCTGCGAAAGGTTCACCCTCCGGCATGGGCATAATCGACGCTCCTCCTAACGTAGTTAACCGTACACATTCTGCGTCGTCAGAATCTACTACTAAATCGGAAGTGACTGACATACGTAACAGAATTCCTGAACAAACTTGCCGAGAGAGAGTTGATTCCACATCTGACCGTCACCCCTCTTTATACAGAGAGATTGCCTTTAATGAAACCTCCAATGAGCCCCCCAAGTTTTCGCGCCGCTCTGAGCCTAAGAGACCCCATGTGAGTGAAGATTACGAAAAAACTTGCCACCCTGATGGAAGGCCTAAAAATAATGGAGAAAAGCACAGAGACAGGAGGAAAGAACTTGAGAGGGGAAGGAGCAAAGAAAGGATCCCACGGCTCCGCAGGACCAGCAGACCCTTAAGTGAAGACACCGCAAGGGATGATAAACGTCGCGCAAGTGCTGTTCCGAGTATCAAAAGGGACAGAAGCAGGGGCTCAAGACTTGATAACTATCGCTCAAAAGGGAAGGAAAAGGACAGGGAATACTTCCTCTCTTCCAGTGAGCTTGCGAAAGCAGATCGTTTCTCCCTGCAGAAGAGACAAAACCTTAAAGACCCTTTGAGCCACTCACTTCTTGCAAGGTGCCAGCATCCAAGTGCGGAAGTGGAACCCTCATCTTATTATAGTAGTTTTGCTCGGGAGCTGAAGCACAGTGCAGACGACTGCAAAGTGAACCTTAACCTTATATTATTTGCCACCTTTGGTAGCCTTACTTGTCACAGATAGTCAAGGAGAAATTTTACTTGTACTTCCACTCGTTGCTGTACTTCCTAATGCAGGCGTACGCTACTGAGGTTGCTCCACTTTCTTAATTAATTGTACTTTTCAGTTATGACGGGTCGGTTTAGAATGAAACGGATGCTGTTGTATCCGCCGAGAGTTCGATATTAAGCGCACGAAGCATTGCCATTAGGCTCTATGAGTCCAACATTGTGTTTTTAGAATACTTGTCTCGCCATTTGTTAAAGGCGTTACCGGAAAGTAGCCAACCCCAGGCCCTACGGTCGCTGCTGTAATTTTCTTATATTGACTTGGGTCGTGTATCCATCCACCTTTTCTTTAAGGTTAAAGATAAGCTCTGTTATGAACTACCGGATCGGTCTCCTAAAGGGTTTCTACCACCGGAAGGGGCTCTTCTGCCAGGCAGAACTCAAGAAACTGATCGCTACGCCGGCCTACGATTCTGGCGATTCTGTTACGCTACCAGCTTCCAGCGCCAGTGTTCTTGTTGCCTACGTAAACGAATCTGTTAACTTTTTAACATCATTTACTTCCTGGGTCAAAAGCGAAGAGATTGTGTCTCCCGGTACTTCGTAGCATTGTCAAACTAAAATGCCTTCGTTAACACACTTTTATAGATTTTTTTAAGGCCACCTCGTCTAAAATTGGCCCAATTAGCATCCAGTCGTCACCCCTTTTGGTTCTGCGGCACTGCTTACACGCTATAAGTTTTCTTATGGATTAAACTTAAGATTTTGTGGCAAAGCCAACTTATACACGATGACGGGAAATTGCTGTCTATAATTATTCGCCGTAACAACGCTTTTGCAAGATGTATTTTGGCTCATTATTTGGTTCTGTGCCGGTGACACCGATCCAAGCCATACATCCGTGTATTCAAAACACTTTGTTGGCGTTCACTCATGGGCGCCACTGGCCATTACACTTTTTACTTTCTGTACTTTTTAATAAACTAATTATTTGTAGAAAGCTCAGCTTTTTATGTCTTAGCACTCATGAGTATATTTAAAAGTCGAACACTCCGTTTTTATTATAATATAAGGCCACTTAAGCTGTTTCGCACTGCGAATTAAAGTTTGCTTTTTTGTCTTACTTGCAGGATGCATGCCGGGTTGTGGGCCTCTACAAAGGTTGGATATCTGTCCTCCGCCAGTCACGTGTAAAGCACAATCGTTAGAATTTATTAACGCCAATTGCCAGAAACCAACCTTTGAATAAAGTGATGGTCTGTTTGCAACTTCAGAGCCCAGCCAAACGGCGAACGTAAGAAAGCCACTTGCTTTAACAAAGCGGTCAGCGTTTCAAATGATATATTGAAGCTTTGCAGAATGAACTTTCGCTTAAGGTAGCCTGCTCGCTCACTGTTCGTCTAGAAAAAAAAAATTGGGTGGGTTTCTCAACAAGCACAGAAACACAGCGCCCTTACTTGGCAAGAGTGCTTTCCCAGAGCAACGCTGTTATGATAGGAACCAACCTGAATAGGTGGATCGAGTACTTCCGATATGCAGTAGTTTTTTAAGGTGGACTTTGCTAAAGTTTCTATGCTATTATACTCGTCAGTAGCATTGGGCATGGAATGGAACAGTAGTAGTATGTGATCTCTGTAGAGGCACAATAGTGAACCATATAAAGGGATATGTAGAGGGAATGTGAGTAACCTGACTTCACGTAGTACAGCTCCTGAGCTCTCTAAAGCAGGTACAATGTTGTCATCAGGGTATAAAGTATCGCTAAAGTAAGAAAAGGGTAAAACTTAAAATTTTTAGAAACTCGAGGTACTACCTCCTTATAATCAAGCATCCGTGAATAACCACCGAAATTTCCTTTAAGACCTCAAGAACAACACGGGAGAGGACTGTCTCGCAGCCAGACAGGCGTAAAAGTCGAGAAAAATGAATAATTTGAGCTGTTAAGCATAAAAAGTAACAAACTAAAATTATTAAAGTTCGTTAAATGAATCATATTTTAATAACCGTTTTCCAGTATTACTCTAACACGCTGCTCGAGTGGCATTTCCAAAGCCCTTAGAAGCCCCTGTTTAACGTCACTGCCAGATTTGCTGGTTGCGGTAGCCTAACATGAACCTGCATTGAGTCCCTAAATAGCAAGTGTTATATATTAACACAGATTCTACTGTATTCAGCCGGAGTCGCCCTGTTACAGTTGCTAAATACTCGTCGATTGCTAGAGGAAAGAGGTAAGGTTCTTCTGAAACGCAGAAAAGGCGATTAAAAACTTTGTCAAAATCTTTCGTCTAGTAAAAAGAAGAGGAAAGATGTCGGGAAAAAAGTTTTTGACGAGAAAAAAGTAACTTTATTGGTAAACACAGAAAGAGAGATCCATTCTTCTTCAATTCCCGATTGCAGCTCCTTTAGGCGCCGTTCTTGTGGGTTAAGCGGTTTATCAATTAAACCCACGGGCCTAATATTGTGGAGGAAGTCATAAAAAGCTACATAAAAAAATATTAAATATACAACTTTGAAGAAACTTTATTTTCTTTAACGTCAGATGAAGAGACATTAAGGCACTCAAAACTCGACCTAAATTGCAAAATATCGGAAATCGGAGTAAGGTGCAGTTTTCCTTTATGTTATAGCTGTTATAAGAAGAGTCATTGAATAGAAAACTCTCCTTTAAACCTGGTGAAAGTACACCACAAAAGTAAGATGCTGTGGGCTGTAATCTTGTTGAAGTCAAAACATGCTTATCAACAAAAGAGGTCTGATAGTAGCTTTCACCAGTTTCTAATTCCAAAAGATAATTACAATGAATATTCTTAAAAATTTACGCTCACCTGGATTGATAGCATTAGCTGCTAAATCTTTGCCTTTTTTTTGATTATAACAGCTAGACTGTGTATCTAAAAGGAGTTCTAATTCTACCTATTGTTAGTTATTCATAACAGAAATAGTTTGTTGACTAAATGGCTAAGTTGAGGTAAACCTTCCTCTGTTGTGGTTTTATTCGTCCACAATATAATTCATCATAAGGCATAAAAGAAGGTCTATTTGGATACTGAAACAAGTACAACTTTTCTTTCAAAGTGGTAGCAACACAGACCATCAACTCCGCTACAACAGGATCATCGCTTTCTTCTTTGAGAGGAGTTTTTGTGATATACTTCTATTGTAAACATGAAGGGGAAAAGTATTTACAGAGTAATAGCAACAAAAGCAAAATAGAGCTTTTAGAGCACCATTATCCGCAATGACTTCAACAGCTGAGCATTGCTCGAGTTTAAAGCCATAAGGATATTTACTTATGGCACCAGAGGGCTCTCTTGTTAAACCTTTACACCTTTATTAGTAAAATTTCACAGTTTCATGGTTAGTTTAGTTATTATATATATATAATATTACTTAAAATTTAGTAATTCTACCTTTTTTTTTTAGCTTTAATAATTATTGTATTTTTTAATAATTTCTCGTAAACTTAGCAACTAAAAGGCACCTATTTTACATTAATCTAAGACTTTGTTTGCGTACTCCTAACCTTACTATAGCTACCTACCTATAAAATTTAGTATTTAGGTTTATTATCCAAAAGATAACACTCCTCGGGCTACTTACTTTTTATATTTGATGCTTGCTGAGCTAAAAGCGGTGAACAATTTTCTGAAAACTTTAAATAAGGTTATTTTTCTTTTTAAAAAAAGTTTTTTCTTTTTTTTAAGTGATAAATTAAAAAAAAGTTAGACGAAAACGAATTTTATTATTGGAATACCATTCACCTAAAAACTACTGCTTTCTACTGGGCTTCTTTGACTTCGCATCTATTAAATTGTTTTGAGGTGACCTGAACTTTTTTGTTTACACTAAAATTAAAATAATTACACGGGCACAATTAAATATATTTGACAAGATAGGTATTTGATCCACATATATTATTCATATACAGTTTACGGGCATAATCACTCATAATCACCAGTCTTGTGCACGAGTCTAAGCTTAATATATATATTTTATAGGTAAGTAGTATAGACCCAATACTCAATCACTTGGAAACTTGTCGCCAGCCAGAAGGCACTCATATATCTACTTTCTTTATTTTCTTTATACAAAAATTTAAGAAACTAAATAATTTTTAAACTTTTAGGAGGTTATGGAGGACAAAAGGGTCATGATGCCAACTTGCAGTTTACTTTGAGTGCGATCCAGCTTTACATACTTTTTAACAGATTAGAAGAGATCGATGTAGTTAAAAACTCTGCGTGTGAGTGCTTATATGTAGCTGCTTGCCATTCCAAGCTGCGTCTTAATTTAATTGGATTTAAGTTTAAGGCCTAAATTTTGCATACTTATGCATATGTACTATTTATCTAAAATTCTTTTTTTATCGTATTATTTAAATTTCTTTTTTTTTTTTTTAAATTTTGGCGAAGTTATTTTAAAACTTCAAAATTCAGACGGTTCCTTTTCCAGTGACATATGGGGAGAGGTTTTTATTCTGCATAATCCTGTTTTTAGACACCAACTTTTTATAAAGAAGGATGTAAAGTTTACTTACATGGGTCTTTTAAGTTTGAAACTTCTTCAAAAGTTGAATACTTGCGATATTGCCTCCGCGCAATCCTTTCTTCTTTCTTGCTTAAATAAAGATGGGGGTTTCGGCCTCCTTCCAAGGACCGAGTCTCACGCAGGCTTTAGTTGATCTGCTTTTAGTATTAATACAATTATCCTGATTTCGTTGGGGCCAGCTTTCTGCGCCGTGGCTGGGCTTGTTCTCTGTGGTCATGTTTTTACAGAAAAGGAAAACAGTTTAATCGTAGACTGGCTCAAAAATAGAATTTTTGGAATAGGAGTGAACGGAAGACCTGGAAAATTTTACGATGTTCTACTATTACAATCGTCTCTATATTAAAAATAACTAAGAATTTATAGAGTTGCTACGCGTGGTGGGTGTTGGCTTCTTTAAAACTTTTAAATGTTCCAGTTATTAATTATGACTTCGTAATTCCCTTTATACTTTCTTGTCAGGTAGGAATTTGTATTTTAGATCTTCTTGTGGAATTTTAAACTTTTTTCAGAATAAAAAAAGCGGGGGCTTTTCACCTCGCCCGAGGGAACCAGCCGACTTGTTCCATACAACTTTCAGTGTGGCCGGTACGTTGTATTGGCTTTTGCACCCAAAAAGTTACTAAGTTCAAGTCTTGCTAAATAACTTTTTTGCTGCATTAGCGCTTTCTCTACTAAAACATGGAGGACTGGAGCCTATTGATCCATTAACTTGTTTACCTGGTAGTATTATGAATATCTAATAACAAAAATTCCTCATAATAATTTTAGTTAAACTTTCAATTGCTCTATTTATTTGAGTTTAAGCAGGTTGAGTAACCGATCTACTAAGTTTGTTTTGTAGACTAAAAGATTTTTAGTATGATAAGAGTTTCATGAAGCCTTTTCGAGTAAAAATTTGTAATAGTTTTAAAGTGTTATAGGTCATCAGGTTTTTAGAGCTTCGTGTCTTCAACTTATAAAGTATATGAAACTATTAACTAGGAAAATTAAATATTCTCGTTACTACAAAACTGAATTGCTTGCACTTTTTTGAAAGGCTCAATATTAAATTGTATTTAATAACTATTTGATTATATAACAGTTATTGAGAAAACATACTTTTCGTTTATAGATTAATTAACATATTATTAGCATTTTAATCTGCACTTAAACAAAGTCTTAGGATGCCTAGCTAGGATTATTTTATTTGAGTGCTCTGTCTGTATGTTTGTGCTTTTTGTATTTTCAAGTTCCGTCCTCACATATTTGCGCTAGTCTAGTCCTCAGGTTTTTACCTTTACAGAATTTTACCATCCAAAATCGTAGCACTTATACTCGTTAATACTCACCCTAGTGTGCACAACCCAGAAAAAAAAATTACCTAGGCACTAAGCGAGGTACTACTATATTTACAATGTGATTAAAAAGGGAACCTATTTCATGATGTTTCTTCTACGAAAAAGGCTACTTGACTTTTAAAAAAAACCTTATTACTCCACAGAAGGGGTAGTTGGGGTGCGGATAAAATTATACATAGTTCCATCTGTGGATTGGTTATTTGCTTTTTTTTATTAGCTTACTTACAGCTCCTATACGAAATGTATTTAAGTTTTTCGGACTCATTTTTTATAGTCTATGATCCGTCTAAGAATTTTTAGAGGAGGCTTTTTAATATGTAATTTCTATTTGTTCCGCTAATTTAGTTTTGTTGAGTTATCACCTTTCCTGGTGCTCGAATAACAAAAAATATCAATTTTCAACCATATGATTTTTATTTTATAGAAATATTACAAAACATTAATAATTATTATACTCTGCGGATACAAATAGAGGTGTAATACGCAGTAAGCAAAAGGTGTGCAGCATCAGCGGAGGTGCCTTCTCCCTAATGTTGCGCTTAACCTCTGCAACTTTGCACGCACCGCCAAGACCGATCGGTGCACCCAACGGCGTGGCCATCTTGGTTATACGGAGCATTTAACGTTACTTTTGTAAAGTATCAAGCTGTACTCTTAAGAGAACCATGAAAAATAAAGTTTATCATAAAAATTTTTATAAAAGATTAGGAATTTGATCTATCTTACTGTCCAATATTATTTTCATTTATTGTTATTTAAAATTACATCCAGTATAAAATACGCTATAAAATCTCTAGAGTTACTAATTTATCATATGAAATCTTAATTTTAATAATCTTAACTGAATAAAAATATATATTAAGCTTTGTGGAATAAATTTTAAAGGGATATCCTTTTCTTTCTCTTTTCTTATAATTGCACTTTTGTGTATTTATTTATTTTAATTTTTTAACTTAACTTATCTAGTATTTCTTATTTGTTCTATCATTTTTATTTATCTGCTTTATTTCTTTCTTCCCTTAAATCCTGATAAGTTATGTGCACGAAAATTTTATAAATAAACGATATAAAATGTAAGATTCCACATATCGAAATAATAATACTCCAGTTTGAAATAGTGTACAACCTCGAGAATCAATTTAACTACGTCAATGACTCATTTGTTATCAAACTTGCCCTAACATATCAGGGATTACATTGACCTTTTTACAAACGATAAAATCGGTTAAAGTGAATTAACTTCTCGATAAAGATTACCAAAATCTGCATTGGTTACCCAATAATTTTGAGCAGTGTTAGTGATGATACAAAGTAAATTGGGAGACATTGATATAGTACACCCAAATAAAACTATTGAAAACGCTAAAAGCAATTTGGCGGAAGTTTTTAGCTATATTTATGCAAAAGATGCAAGAAACTTTGTACCACCTCAAACAACCCACTGAATTAATTTAACGATATGTCAATCGATCACAGCGCCCGGCAAATACAAGAACAATGCGCGGCTTCTGATTTAACAACATAGATCATTGAAATCAAACCTCCTTTAGGGGAAACACTTATTAACAGGTGTGGTGATGAATTTTTATATAATGAAATATTTTGAGCTATATTATAGCAACAATCCCGAGAAATTAATACTTGAAATTCTTTATCGTAAGCAGAAACCAGGAAAAAACAAATAGAGCTAACTCTCTTACTGTTCTCCATACTACAAAACAAAACTCACTCAAAGAAAACCTCTTAACAAACATAGTTCTTATATATATGCAAAGGATGTGGTGATCACCACAAAAGAATTTCTTGCCCCTTCTAAAAAACGATGTACACTTTGTGAAAAATTGAGCCATAGTAAGAAAGTATATGCTTCCTAAAGAAAAATAATATATAAAGCAGCAAAGAAATATCAATCCCACAAATCATTTCTCTCATAACACTGCGCTTAATGACTAAGATAAGATTGATTCTGCCGCATACCAACATTTTATTAAAGATAGAGGGTACATAACGTACGAAATGAACAAGACCACTGTTAACATAATAAATTCTGACATAAACACTTATTATTCCAGTTATTTAAAGTTCTACAGTCATAGTAATTCGGTTTATAGTCTACATTTTTAACATAATCTAATATCTTTTGATGAGAACGGATACACCGCTAAGTTTTAAAACTCAAGAGTTATATCAAGATAACAATTTGCCTGCTGCTCAAGGTCGTTCAAAAGATGGTATATACAGGTTATATCCCACCAAAACTGTAAATTTTAACCTTCTGCGCCCTTTCTGAAACAATTAGAACTGTGTAATACCTCACGAACAGTACAAATATGGATATATTAGTTACAAATATTATTATTGTTCCAGGCATTGAAATAACAAACGTGAAAAGTGTGATAGATATAAAATGAATAACTTAAGAGTAAACGAGATTAGCCGAACCCACTGTTTGAGGAGACCTGGTCACCTTGTTCACCCTGTATAATGGATTTCACTATGTCATGGTTGGAGCGGATGCCAAATGCAACTGTGATTACAATTTTTGCCAGAACCAAAAACGAAGTTAAATTCAAACTGATTGATTGGTTAGAATACCATAATAAACATTCAGAATAAGAGACTTAAAAAACACTACTCACTCAGCATTTATTGAAGAGACTAGGCCAGATAAGGGTTGCGAACGTACCAATGAAATTTTTGAAAGAGCACTGAAGCAACAAGGGGTGCTATTCACTACAGTTCTCAATATACACCACTATATATGCTCAGTAAACCTACAAAACAAACCCTTTGTAACTTGATTGGGTGTATACTAAAACAGTACTATCTACCACCTAAATTCTTAAGTGAGGCAAAGCGTGATGCCGTTTATCATTAACATATCAAAAGGCAACAACTTTTTCATAGCAGTTAATTATTCGAAGGCAAGGCTGCAAACATCAACATTACCTACCACTTGGACGTAAAATTCATTACTGCGATTCAGGCTACAACAGGAATCACAGGATAGAGCAGTGGAGGAATATTACTTTCTAAACCCACAGTCTCTACTAAAGATGAGTTTCTATTTAAAATCCAAATACAGGAAAAATTATTCGCTCAAGAGATATAATCAGTTACCAATGTATATTTCCCTTTGGCGACAATAGGACTGACCATGTTGGAACTATATACTCATCAAACACAATTATGCATAAAATTTAATCCTCCCTAACGATATACTTCCGTTGCATTAGACTCGCAACCATTTAAGACAGAACCTATTAAATATCACCTGAAAAAACTTTAAAAAAAATGATGATACTAATCTTATAAAATTAAATAATGATTAACCTTATAAAATTAAATAATGACAACTTTAAACAGTTTTAAGATATATAAAACTGACGAACCTATAATTAAACGCACAACTTGCGTCAATAAAAATTAGGAATCATCAATTGATAATAATTATAATACAAATGAACATCAGGATATTCAGATAAATAAATGAGTCTGAAAAACTGAATGCACCACAGATACCACAAATTGACTCCAGTATTGAAATCAAAAATAAAAGTAAAAAAGATAAAATTAAGGAAAGACCTTCACACTCAACTAAAAATGTATGTGCTAAACGTAACCAATTAAATAAAACTTTTTAAAGAAACCAGAAAAAGACCTATTTAAGTACATCTCGTATCCTTCACCTGAATCCGATAATGACGAAATACAATTCATTCAAAATGTCAACAAGTTAACTAACTTAAGTAAAAGGCAATTAGATTTAGTAGACATGTAGGGCGTATCTATCAAAAAAACTAAGGAGGGCCCTCATCCGCACTTACCTATCTTTCGTAGAAGCCAAAAATTCTGAGGAGAAATATCATTACGTGAGAGCTGCTACAACTGAACTTGCATATTGCAAGTGTATTCCAAACCCTGCACCGTCTGTAACATTGTTAACAGGTTTATCGTCAATATTAAGACGAGTTTTTTATAAGATACTTACCATATAAATTCAAGAATTATGATTGAATAGGTCCTTGTGATTATCATCTTCCTGTAAAACTTCTAAGTTAAACCACCCAGTTTCAACATATGAGGTCATTGGGACCCTCTTCTCAGGGTTTATTGCAGTACTAGAGGTGGTTTTGTTTAACTAAGCTCAGCCAGGCACCATACTTGGTGGTTATTTAACAACAGTTTATACCAAAAAAATTTTTTAAGTGCTGCGAGAAATTTCAAAAAAAATAGTCTGGCAGATTCTTTAAGTACATATAAAGCAACCTTGATTTGTAGCACACATTTCTTATTTTTTTCTCGATAGTATTCTTTTTATAGTTTCTTCTGTTTTTGATTATATCTTAATGAGGTATAATCCTTGAGGGATCTGTGCATAAATTGGATTACTAAGTTTGGTA